GTTTTGAGAAAACAGAAGAATATGAGAAACTTTCCATTTATTTTCATTAATAAGAATGGTTTAGCAAAATATTTATAGATTAATTTTTTGTTAGCTTTTTAATATACCTTCCCGATTTGTCATTTCTCTCAAGTAACTTTTAAAGAACTTAAACTATTTCTTTTGTCTCTCTGGTACATTTAAAATTTGAAGAGTGTTTTTGCCATCATTTAGGTAAATTGTTAATAAAAATATGTTATGTAACATCTCTTACTTAATTTAATGACTCATCTCTAAGCCATTCTTAAACTCGAAGTTAATTTTATGCAAATGCTTATTTTAAAATAACATAGCGATATGAAATGCAATAATTACAGGCATTTTCATTCATATTCCTATAAGCTTAATGCAAAAATGTTTTAATTGGTCCCTATTTTCTCTTCAGAAATTTGCTACCTACCTGTAACATAAACACATAAATTGTGTTTGACTTTATTTTACTTATTTCTTCAACACAGTTCCATATTACCATATTGTTTTCATATTTAACACATTTCCATTCTCAACCTGATTTGAAATTAAGCCTAAAATATACAGGTTGCAGATTCTCAATAAAGCCCTGGATATGCTTCAATATTTCTAGTAAAGCTGAGAAGCAGTCATTTGGAGCACAACTCCTAGAATCCAGTGGCTGAGGTTGGGAATAAATTCAGTTTTCTTTGGAGCAAGTTAAGTACTAGAATGACTAAATATAATTCACTCAGATTAAACCCTGGTTTTCTTTAGAGTAAAAAATCAGATCAGTATCCTCATTATCTTTTGCCAAAACTATTACAATCTCCAATCTTTCTGTCTCATCTCTGCTCTCTTCATTGTCTGCCTTAATATGTAAACATGATCCTGTCTCCCTCATCACTAACAGTATGTGAAATATTTCACGTTGACTTCAGGCTAACGTCCAGATTCCTTAGAATCACTTTAAAGACCCTACATGATCTATTCTTAACATACAGACTCATCTATAAAGACTTCTCTAATTCTTTCAGACAAAGTTAGTCATATTTCCTTTGGGCTCTGATTGCTGTGTGCCATCTATTATGTCACTTGTGTCATTTGAGTCAAATCATTTTATATATCTGCCTACTGGTCTGTGAATCCTTAAGGGAAGAAACCATAATTTATTCAACTTCCCATCCTAAGTGTCTCTCACTTTCCCTCGTGTAGTCCCAGTCTCTCCTAGTTTCCTCCCTCCTTCCACAGAGGACTTGACAGATAAAATAAGAACAATTAAGAAGCAATAGCAGCAATGACAATAATGTAATATTTATCAAACCTTTGCTATTATCAGATATGCTTACTGTACTAAGTTCCTTGCATGGATTATGTAACTTAATTCTCATGAACATATTATGAAGGTTGTTGGGGCTTTTAAAATTTAATTATTGGTCAGCCCCGGTGGCGCCGCGGTTTAGCTCCGCCTGCAGCCTGGGGTGTGATCCTGGAGACCTGGGATAGAGTCCCACGTCGGGCTCCATGCATGGAGCCTGTTTCTCCCTCTGCCTGTGTCTCTGCCTCTCTCTCTCTCTCTCTCTCTCTCTCTCTCGCTCTCTTAAATAACCTCCCCTAGTCACATGAGTGTGAGTGGCAAAGCCATCATGTGAACCTAGACGTCTGATGTATAAAGTATGATTTTTCAATATTTGAGAAATGATTATCAGCACAAGATATTAGGGGTTTTTCCATGTTGGTAATTGAAAAAAAATTATACACATACATGTAAAGAAGGTAACTTTATTGCTAATAATCTGCTGATTAGGATAAGGCTATTTTTATATTACACTGTGTCAAGTCATGATAGCTGTATTTTATTAGGCATGGGGAAGACTCTGGGCAGAGCATCAGAAATTAAGAAGTTGAGGGGCACCTGGGTGGCTCAGTGGTTGAGTGTCTGCCTTTGCCCAGGTTGTGATCCTGGTGCTCGAGTCCTGCATCAGGCTCTGCTAGGAGCCTGCTTCTCCCTCTGCCTGTGTCTCTGCCTATTCTGTGTGTCTCTCATGAATAAATAAATATTAAAATCTTTTTTAAAAAGAAAGAAATTAAGAAGTTGAAAGAAATAAAATACATACATGAAAATATAAAAAAAAAATTAAATGTCTCCAGGCATAACAAATTGCAAGCCTCGTAATGCAACAGAAGTAATATTTTTAAAAGAATTTTGACCATCACTTTATATTGAAAGTCTGTTTTTGACAAGTACAGTATAATTTATATGCCTATGTCTAAGAACGATTTCCCTTAGAAGCAGGCCTTGAGACAAAAATTTGACTGTAGTAATTTTTTAAAGATTTTATTATTTGAGAGATACAGAGAGAGTGAGAGAGAGCAAGAGAGCACTAGTGAGGTGAGGGGCAGAAAGAGAAGCCGACTCACAACTCAGCAGCCCCCCCCCCCCCCGCCCCCAGCCCCGCCCCGGCCCCGGCCCCATGCAGAACTTGATCCTGGAACTTTTGGATCATGACCTGAGCCGAAGGCAGATGCTCAACCAAATGAGCCACCCAGGAGCACTTGACTGTAGTAATTTTGAGGAGGAATCTCAGAAAGTACCTAGGGAGGCTGAATGAGGAAGTAAGACATGGAAAGGAAAAAAGCCAGTAAAAGATATACTGTCAACATGCTTATGGCTGTGGGCAACCGAAGGTCAGTCTTGCTGGAAAACTGGTACACAATATAGAATATACCTCACAGTTATCTCATCATAGGACTGGTTCAGGGGACTCTCTTAGCAACTATAACATCCTATAAAATCTCTTCATTATCAATTTAAGTTTAAAACTCCAGCTCTCTAGTCTGTTTCTCCTATTAGGTTGTAAATGTCTTAAAGTCAAGGATTAGGTTTTGATCATTGTTTTATCTCCATTTTGGATCCTGGCTTATATCAACCCTCAGTATATCATTGTAATTTAGGTGAATGAATGAATAGGAGAGATCTCTTCACATCTTATGTGTGGTAATAGTTTGAACTCACAGAGAGAAATTATTGAAAGCATTTTTATGCAGGAAAGCCTTATTTGCATAGGATCAGTCTTGCATCTGTGTCTGCCTTTTTTCTGAATAGATTGTATAGAGCTGTCATACATCGCTCGCTATTGATTGCTTAGAGGGGATTGCTCTGAATGCAATTCTTATTTAATTTATAACCTAGTGATATGTGCAATGTCTCATCTTATGTTTGAAAAATAATTTGCCTTCTTGGGAATATCAGTTGCATTCTGAGTTGTGTTGTTGGGTATGATGGTTTGCATAAGTAGGTTCAAGATATTGATATAGTGAAGCACCATAATCTGGGTCTTTGGCTTTGTTGGAATAGGTCTACATGATTATAACAATGTATGTTGAATTACTTTAGCACTCTTTTCCAGACTTGTGCATTCTGTGTAAAAGCATCTATTTCACAATACTTCCTCGGAAATCACTTACAGATCTTTTTTATACGCTATTATAATTTTTTAGACATTCTGTGTTATCCTAAAATGAATTTCAGATTTTTTTCTAGCATTTAATGTCTAGTATTTCATGATATAATCTTGATGCTTTTGCCAACTCTTTTCATCATATTTAAAAGCAACAAAGTCTACTTGTTTTATAGATATTGCTACAAATAAATTCTGAAATTAAGTAAATGATAATAAAGGGACAGAATAAAAAAGGAAGTGTTTATATTTGTATATTCAGAATATGTATTTAAAATATTTAATTTTATTTTCCAAGATAGTTAGTTTTGTTGGCTTTAATTATATTGTCATGTTTTTCCAAGCTGTAAGGCGACTTTGATTGCAGATTCACAGCAATTTTTAATATATCTTATTGAGATCATAGTAAAATAAAGTCTTGAAACGACTGGGAAAATATTTTAAGTAATGTTTTGAATATTCTAGTGCATTTCTATACATCTTGGTAGATCTACACATACATCAAAGCATGCTGTGGTTTGTTTCCTCATCGAGACTAAATAGTAGCCTGTGTCCTGGCAAAAGCTGAAGCACTAGATGTTTTTACATTTAAATTGAAACCATTTCTAGGGTTCCACTCTATTTTTTGTTTTCAAGTTATTCATATCAAAAAATTCACTGAATTTAATAATTGATTGAAATTTTACTCTATTTTAGTTTTGAAGTAACTCAAAGATTTCACAAACAAGTGAATTTGTCATCCTCAAAAAAATTTGGGCAACTTGCTGAACTAAGAAGTAAATGAAATTTGAAACCAGATTCCTGTCCTTGTGCAGCTTATAAATTAATTAAATAAATCAAAAATATGCAAAAATAACAGTTACACATAGTAAATTGCTTTTAACTATGCCAAAAGTTAAAGCCCACGTTCTTTTTGGTATCTCAGACTTTTTCATAATGAATAAAGCAACATGGGCTCTGCTTATAATTTCCACTAGAAATGTGATAATGTCTGGGTTCGGATCTTAAGGTAATGTTATTATGTGATTGTATCAGTATATGCTTATTTAAGATTACCTCTTCATTTATTTCATTGTAAAACGGTGTTTATCCCCATAGAGCTTAAATATCGCCCAGCCATTGAAACACACAACTCAAACTGATTAACTGAGCATAATTATTACAGAAGTTGGATTTCTAGAACTTCTCAGGAAAGCTCTCTAAACCTTAATTATGTTAAAAGTGAAAACAATTTTAACTCATAAAATTTGTTCTCATTATTATTAGTAATATTAGGAAAAGTTTATACCAACAATAACATGTCTCCATGGACTTCTTACCTAATATCTGAATTCCTGATACAAAAAGGATAAATAATTATTTCATTAAGAGCACATGTGAAGAGGATTATTAATGAATTTCAGGAATGAACTGAGTACAAGCTCTGATTGGAAAAGTATTAGACAAAGTCTAGTTTTCACAGATGTTTGATAACGGTGAGTAAAGAGCAGTAAAAGATATATTATCATTTTGCATTTGATATTGCTTTTTTTCCTCCTCTATCATCTCTAGTTGTAAGCACAAGATGTACCTGGAAAGGCTGCCAAACACCAGCATTATTATCCCATTTCATAATGAAGGTTGGACTTCACTCCTGCGTACTATCCACAGTATAATTAACCGAACTCCAGAGAGTCTGATAGCAGAAATCATCCTAGTAGATGACTTCAGTGATAGAGGTAAGATACAGTTAATATATTTTATTTGATTCTGTTATTACCTACATAATCATTACTGGCTTAAAAAAAAGTTGGAAAATTATTTTGATGTTTCTTTCTGATTCTATCTGGAAGGTGATTATGAAGTTTTGCCTCTGTTGTGCTTTCATAAAATGTTGGCCAAATGTAAAAGAAATGAATGAGAAGGTATTGGTGTTGTTTGGGAAACTATAAGACATTTGCATTACACTTTTGTTGTAAATTAGACAGGTGTTGGCAAAATGCCTCAAGTTCTTTCAGCTTCAGGACAAACATTGTAAAATATGTTATTGTAAGTACATATGAATGGGGAAATATTCCAGTATATTTATAAAATCTGTTCCTGTTTCTGAAAGGCATCTGCTCTATTATTTGCCTGTATGACCTATCTCTAAGTTGTGCTTGTGTTACTTCATAAATACCAGAAATTGTAAATAACACAAATATTTTTACTTAGCAATTCCAACTATTTTCCCTATCTGAACAATAACCAAAAAAGTCCAGTATGTATCAGAAAATTTGACAGAAGTTTTAATATTTCTACCATTCTGAAAAACATGATATGGTTTATAAGACAGGGAAATAAAATCATAGAAAGTTTCCTGAGATTAGGGCTTCACTAATCACCTTTGTTCTGAATGTGAGAATTGTTAATACTGTATAGAAAGTTAAGCTTCTCTCTTTTGGCTGATGTGAGTGAACAGGAGGTTCACTCCTGTTCTTTTTTCTAATGATGTTCATCTGTTTGGGAATGCAATGTTCTACCTTATATTTTATTGCATGAAGGAGCTCTGCTTAACTATACTGTATTTCTGTAAGAGAGAATGGCAGTAAAAGAGTTTAACTGCATGTTATCCTTTTGCATCTTGAACTCAAATGGGTTAACTGAAGTTTTGAAAATCTCATTTGCAACAAAAATGTCAGTTTCTTCATACTCTAAAAAATTCTATAAAAGTAAAACTGTTCAGTGTGTTAATCTTAAGTTTTCTTTAACAGAGTCCCAGACTTTAATGATATACTTCAAATACTTCATAGTTTACATGAAATTAACATGTTTTGAAATTTGTATGACCAAAATTAGGTTGTCTAACATTTCATTAAAATAGCAAACTACCAAAAAAATAAAAAATAAAAAATAAATAAAATAAAATAAAATAAAATAGCAAACTACCAAGTTGGCAATTTAGGTTGATTTCAAATAGTTTTTGCCTTAGGTAAAGGCAAATCGTGTTGCTTAGGTAGATATGCACTTAATACTACCCAATAATGCATCCAGTATCTAATGCTGGAATTTATTCCTTACAAATTTGTTTAAATAACACATTGATTTCTGTTCTATTCTAATTGAGGCTACTTATTTCAAAGTAATCACTATACCTCATACTAAAAATAAGTATTTAATGCGTTAAAGCTAAAACTTTAAACTTTGCTTTTAAATAAAAGAATGAAAAGAGGAAATAAAGATCTGGAGCTGCAAATCACCAAATGGTCTTTTGTGGTTGATTGCTACTAAGAGAAATGTTCTGTGGAGCATTTTCTACATAATTAACAGCAGACTTTGGACCTACAGATAATATAGTAGGAAACACTTGGTAGCAGAAAATTGTGGCTTACAGAGCATTTTTTTGCCGAAATTTTCTCAGAGACATTTTTCACTTGAACATCTTTAAAGAGGGAAAATATAGTGGCATCTACATTTGTCTTGACTTAAAATCATTGTCATCTTTTGTACAGTGGCAATTTTGATGGACTATCTTCCTGCATATGTTACATGGGAAGAAAGTGACAGAAGACTGTCAATGTAATTAGTGTAACAGAAGTACAACAAAGAAAAAAAGGATTATTTGGGATAGTAATGGTGATTTTGACTTTTCTTTTGGGCATTTTTAAGGATAACAATTATTTTTAATGTTTTAGTATATCTTTAATTTAGAGATTCTATTCCTATGAACTATCAAGTTGAAAGTATTATTTTATGAACATTAAACTTTCAAAAGGTTAAAATATTTTGAATATTACTTTTAATTATGTTAAACTGTTGATATATGGAAAAAATAAGCTTTGCAAGAAAAATGTGATAAAATATTTCTGTAATCTTTTAGAATATGTCATAATTCAAAAGTTGCATGGAATAGGAAAGATTATTCTTCCAAATTTTTATTTCAGATTGAAAAAATCTCATCTGACAAAATATGGGGGTTAGGTGGACCTAATTCAATCCTCCTTCCTGAATTATGAGAAATACAGAAGGTTAACATGAAGAACACAAGTTATAATTCCAACACCAACTATTAACTATATGATGTCAGGTTAACGAATTCTATTTCTCAGATTTTTTTTAATCAAAGTGAAGATAGTTTTTAGTTATCTAAGTAACTTCTTGTAAAGAGGTCAGAATGGAGAGCTGCCTTGAATGGTTGAATGAATTGTACACTGTAAAGGAGAGTAATTTCTCTCAAAAATTGATTTCTAGTCATCAAATATTCCCCTGCTGCTATAATAAAGCATGTCTATACTTCTTTGTGAGGATCCTCTCAATTTAATAAAATCTATTCCACAAGAATATCTATCTATCATCTATCTATCTATCTATCTATCTATCTATCTATCTATCTTTCTATCATCATTTATTGTCTCCAGAAGCAAAAAAAGGCAGAGGGCGTGTGAGGACAAATTATAGTAATTTATAGCACGTTAGAAAAGTTAAGATTGCTTTAACATTAAAAAAAATCAAATTCTACCATTAGGTAAGTAACTTACTAGATATGGAAGAAAAATTACATTCTAAAGGTTCATCAAAAGGAGAATAAAAAGATCATGTTACCTACTTATGTTACGTGAGGGGCCTTACATGAGTGTTTATCAAAATTCCTTTTAAGTTTATTTTCTCCCTTAGAAGGAAGATATCTTAGGACATCTCTTGTTTACAGAACCTCTGAGACAAAGACGATTTTGCTGCTCCTTTTTATTATGATATTATCTCTACACATGCTGTTAAAAGTTAATATATTTTAAAGTGTATTTATACATTTTTTGGACAACCCAGAAATTGTAAGCCTGCAACATGTAGGGCCTTTTTCACCAGTTCTTTAAAAATCAAACTAAGTAGGCCAGACAAAATTTAAAGTACAGGAAGATATGGGTTTTTGGCTTCCTTTAAGAAATTATATTTCTGAAATTTTATACTTTATATTTATTTTTAGAAATACATTCCAATTTCAAGTCTGTACATCTAAACACCTTTGCATTATAGCTTTTCTGGATATTCTGCAATGTCCTTTGGCCAAAGACAATACAGTTTTGACAAGGCTTAATCAAATATTATTGCCTTATATTTTATGTTCTTTAGGTCAATAGAATAGCTACATGTGCAAAGAAAAAAGAAAAAAAAGAAGAACCAACATGTTAGCTATCTTAGTAGCACAAGTTGAATATCACTTGGAATTCAGCGTTCCAAATAATGTTAGCCCTCTAGTAATTATCAAATTCTGTAGTAGTTGTTTTCATAGCAATAGAGAAAAAATACTAAAATATTTTATAATTATAGAATAATTTTAAATATTACAAAGTGATTTTTAAAAATCTTGAATAGGGTTGACCCATTTATCAAATACAAAACAAAACAAAACAAAACAAAACAAAAACAGGTGCATGCCATCTCCAGCAATTCTCAGTTTAGATACTCTTCCTAAAGCAGGCTCAGTAAACAGAATGTTGTTTTAGCCTCCTATCATAAGCCCTCTGTCTCCAGAAACATGACAGTATGGGCCTGCAGGTAAGTTTTCAACAACAACACTATGTTTTTGCTACCCAAAGCTTACCAAGGTTAGTGAATGTGATTATTTTTTCCCCAGCAAGCTCTCAGAAATACATTTAACAACTTAACTTGAGGCCTATAACAAGGCTTCATGATGACTTTAAAGCAGGACTAATCCTGGGCTTATCTCCAAATTCCAGACAACCTTAACAGCATCCACATGGAAAATGTTGAAATGTGTGAAATAAACTGGGGCTTAACCTCAGAGATAGGGCATATTTGAACCTGACAATTCACTAAACTTTGTGCGCTTAGATGAATGCAAGTTCACCTTAGGCTAGTCACAGAAGAGCTGCTGACACCCTTCCGTTGATGGAAGTATGGAGGTACAGCTCTGCACGCCCAAGACAGGTGCACACAGACTCACTCCCTCTTGTTCCTGCTTGTTCCAAACCCCCTGGTTAGGAAAGCTAGGAGTTGAGTATTTCAAGTTCAAAAAGAACTATTATGCTGCATGTACAAGTTAGGGGGAAAATCAGGGACTAGAAACCGTCCTCCCAACCCAGCAAAGAAGCAACTTTGAAGAAACCCAGTGTACTTTTCTGCCAACAGCATAAGTCCTTATTACTTATTGAGTAGTTCACGGACCAGCAGCAGCACCACATAGAAGGTTATTAGAAATGCAGAATCTCAGGCCCCATCCAGGTGTATCAGAATCTTTATTTCAACATGATCTTTGTATAATTTTTATGTAAATCAAAGTTTCAGAATAACTTTCATGTATTTCAAAATTGGGGTCGAAGTAATATGAGTAATGAATAATATGAATAATATGCATAAGTAGCATAATTTAGAAAATTTCCTGTTTTTTGTGTATATTGTTGTAAATACATGTTCCTACTTGGTTTTATTGTTTAGTGTGCAGTTGATATTAGATTCATAAATCTGTAAGGAAAGGCTGGGATGGAAATCCTACAGTATTATCTCTACAATATTTTAGATATTAAATTTACATTTATTATTACATTTCTTTGACAGATTTTAGCATTTCCACAGATTTGTAGACATTTGCTCTGCCTTCTGATGAATTCGTTTTATAGCACTCTATGTTTAGGTTATCACCATTATTCCCTCTCCTGTAAATTTTTCTCCTTTTTCTAACATTTTATAGGTCTATTTTGCTTGGAATCATTCAATGATTTCCATGCTAAGTTCAGGAAGTGGA